CGCCAGCGACGCTTTCGGCGCTAGTTCACCAGCTGCCCACAGGCCAATGGCGGGGGGGGGGGGGATTTTTTTTTTTCCCCCCCCCCCCCCCCCCCCCCCGTTCACTGTGTCATTTGGTGGTCATTTTGGCAAGGGTGTGATCTGACGTATGCCCTTTGAAGACTATCAACATGGTAGCCCCCTGGATGACTAAAACTGCAATGACGAGGGACCTGACGGGTCCGTGGGTGGACGAACGGAAGCTGCCAGCGAACGAGCCGGAAGGGGTGGCGCGCGCTCTGCTCCTACCCGTTGTCAGGCCTGATGTCAACGGCAAATCGCTCTTCGTGGGGGGAAACAAGATCATCGAATTGGAAGACAAGTTGCATGAAAGCCAGCCCATCTGGATGGGCGAGGAGCTCAGCAAGAACGTGGATGAAGGGCAGGAGATGCTGATATCGGCGACCGGCACGACGTTCACACCGAACTGTTGACATTGGCAATGGCAGAATAGCGTTATGAGAAGGAATCGAAATATTCAACTCTCATTCTCGCTTCAGTACTTGATCTTAACCCTCACCCCCTCGCTATCCGCGGCCGCGTACGGCGCGAAAAAGTCATGCTCGGCGCGGACGTCGCGCTCCGTCGTCTCGAATAGCTCGAGATCGAAGCGACGGAAGAGGTTTCCAGTGACCAGTCCGAGCTCTTGCTTGGCCAGCTCGAGGCCGATGCAGTTGCGGCTACCGCGGCTGAAGGGCACCCAGTACCGGTCCATGAGCCTGCGCTGCTCGGGCGTGGCGGTGCACGTCGGGTCCGTCGCCGGCAGCCACCGCTCCGGCTCGAACTTTTCCGGATCGGGGAAGATGTCCGGGTTGTTGTGTAGGTCGCGCTGCGACATGGACATGACGGTGCCGGGTGGGAACGTGTACGTCGTCGGGTGCGGGCCGGGCGTCGTGTAGGTCATTGGGCTGGTGGGGTTGACGCGCGGCAGGCGGCCCGAGACGGGCGAGGCGACGCGAAGTGACTCTTGGATGACTGCGGTCAGGTAGGGTAGCTTGTTGAGTGTTTGGAAGTCGACCAGCTCATCCGTCGGTGCGGTAGAGCAGGACAAGACCTCGTTTCGGAGGCGCTCGTGGACTTTGGGGTTGGACAGGACATAGAAAACAAGGTTGCCAAGCGTATTGCTGGTCGTTTCAGTCCCGGCTCCCAGGACCTGGGTTCGTCAGCTTGCCGCATCTACACGGAGCGATCCAGGTTTGAACTCTACCATTTCAGCTTCGTAGGCCATGCGGAGGGGAGTCTTGTCTTCGGGTGGCAAGAGATCGGATGATGCAATCTGACTTCATCAGTTTCCCATGATGAATAAGAGAATGGGGATATGCGACTTACTGCATCCAGCACCGTCATTTCTCTCGAAGTGGGATTGCCTCCTTCCGCGGCAATTTGCTTCGCCGTGTTACGCAAGACCTGAATGAGGCAGTCAGCTTGACACATCTACCTTTCAACAGATTCTTCTTACTTCTCTCTTTTCCACGAGCTTGGTGACTTCTGGGTCTAGGTATCTCCAGACAGAGATAGGGACAAGGTCCATGACCTGCATGATAGGGATGAATTTCTGTATGTCCATGGTTTGTGCCGCAGTACGGATAGTCCGGTGCATGGGTGGATCAAAGTCGGGGGCATCGAGATTGTGTCGCGGAGTCGGCTCGCAGAACATAGAAATGACATCCATGGTCAAGCTTCGGAAAGCATTGAAGCAATCGCACGGCTTTCCAGCTCTTCCAAACTCATCAAATCTATCCAGCATCTTCTTGAGGTGTACATGCACGCGTGGCTCGAGCTTGGCGACGTTGGCAGCGCTAAGAAATTTCGATATGGGGCCGCGTCGCCTCCGATGCACCTCGTGCTTTACCGTCGTGACTATGGCACGTCAGCTCAAACAGGCGCCGATGGCATATAGCTAAGTGACACACTCCCAGCGATGTTGGTTCCAGCATCGAAGCAGTAAAAGCGAGCGTATTTGTCCAACTTGTTTGTGCTGTTGTAGAGAACATCCCAATATGTCGGATCGGAGATGTGGACTTCGTTGGGGCCGAGGCGAACGATTGGACCTTTCGCGACGATCAGTATGAGATGTTTTCTTGGGAAGATATACCATTACCGTATTTCTTATGCATCTCTTCCCATCTGAGGAACAATTTTCCACCGCAGATGGCATTCCAGTAGAATTCATACAATGTCGTCGCGGCTGCGATCTTAGGGCCAGGAACAGAGGAGAGGGGATGGAAGAAAAGACGTTGTACAACGCGCCATATCTGGAAGAGAAGCAATGCGCCGAAGGCAGTGGCCAGCAGTGAAGTTGAAGCCATGCTGGGGGAGCCGAGGCACAGAATTGAGGAGGTGGATGGGTGATGTATCGAGCTACCCGAAGAGAAAGGGCTAAATACCCCCTTGGGCGATGGCACCTGCCAACAATGCTGTGAATACACTTGCGAGAGGGCGAGGTCCAATCTACAACGAATCGCAAAATGCAGGGCGGGAAAGTTCGCTGAATTTATGGAATTTCTATCAGACCAGAAGTCCACATGTGGTATGGGTTCTGCATTAGTTCAATCAGCATTTTCTGAGGAGCGATTGGCTGGCGGGCGGGAGAGTTGCTGATGTAGGCTGTAGTTGTTCCGCAATTGTGGTAAACCTCCGGGTCAGACGGGTTCGACACCGTAAGTGGAACTGTAAATGAAGGCTCATGAGCAGGGTGGTGATGTGTTGAATCTAATTCGTTGGGTTCTCCCTTCCCCACCTGGCGAGACCGTTAGTCTGCAGCCGAGGGTGGGTCTTTATCCTGGCCCCCACGAGCTACCCAGTCATGTTTCGGCTCAAAAGGGTGCAGATAAAGAGTCAGGGCAGCGAGGAGACTGTTCCGACGCGTGGCAAAGGATATTGCGCTTCTTTGGTGTTGCAGTCTTGTCAGCACCGCCCATCCACTACCCGGTCGACTTTGAGAAATCCTAGCCATTACTGCAGTCAGCTCCGAAACTTTAGCAGTCGCTGTTTTATCGTTTTCTGGACCCCGTTGAACATGGATGCAGTCCAAGATGGTAGGGCGGATCACGTGGAGTCGCGTTCTCGTGGAACTATCGGCATTCAGATGTACGCGCAACGGCACGCCCTGCGGTTGATCAGTAGTGGGGAAGGGCCGGCGGATTGAAGAAAACGAGTAATCGGCGCGCCATTGGGAGCCAAAGATTCATCAACCTCACCAATTGACAGAAAAAAAAGCCCACCTCCACAACTTCCCCAGAATCTCGGCCCCAGAAAGAGCTGCGGCCATGGTGCACCACCGAATCGTCGCGCTGGAAGCGATCCACTCGGCGCCGCCGACCTTCAGCTTCCCGGAGCCGCACACGTTCGAGATCACAATTCACCAGCGCACCGAGCCGCACCAGCTGCACGAGCGCATCCGCGATGCCACCATCATCATCAACGTGGTGCACCCGATCAAGGGCGAGGCGCTGTCGCCGGCCGTGACACCACACCTCAAGCTTATCGCCGTCAATGCCGCCGGCACCGATAGCATCGACCTGGAGGCCTGCCGCGCCCGCGGGATCCGCGTCGTCAACTGCGCCAACGCAAACGTCCAGTGCGTCGCCGAGCATGCCCTCGGCCTGTACTTCGCCGCCCGCCGCAGCACCGTCGTCATGCACGAGCGCACCGTCGGCACCATCGGCGACGGCACCGAGTGGGTCGAGAAGAACACGTTGAACCCGTACATGCGCGTCAAAGGCCGCGCGCCGCTGAACTGCGACGAGGAAGTCGTGGCGATCATCGGAAACGGGGCAATAGGTACGGAGAACAAGGTCCTGAAGGGAGAGGACAATGCTGACGAGTTGCTGTAGGCAAGCGGTTTGCAAACCTCGCGCGGCTGATGAGCATGCGCGTGCTGGTGGCGGCACGCAAGGGCGACAGCAAGCCGCAGCCCGATCGTGTCTCTTTTGAAGAGGCGCTTGAGAAGGCGACGGTGGTCATTCTGACGTGCCCACGCAGCCCAGAGACGATGAACCTCATCTCGACCCCCGAGTTCGACAGAATGCGACCAGAGGCAGTGCTGATCAACGTGTCTCGCGGCGGCATTGTCAACGAGCCCGCGCTAGTGCAGGCGCTGCGCGACGGGAAGATTGCTGGGGCGGCGACGGATGTGTTCGAGAAGGAGCCGGCGTTGGGTGGCGAGAAGGCGGAAAGCGTGCTACTAGGACCGGAGACGCGGGGGCTAAACTTGACCGTCAGCCCCCACGTCGCGTGGTTTGGCGAGAAGACGATGGAGAACTACCAGCGCATCCTGAAAGAAAACGTCGAGGGCTGGGTGGTGGGCAAGGAGCAGAACGTTGTTGCCTGAGCAAGACTTTAGACAGATTCCTACATGTCCTGGCTTTAGAAGGCGCGCTCCACTGAACGCGCCGACACGTGCTAGCGCGCGCTGTGACCCGGGTTGCTGCCTGTCGTTGCCTGGCACTAGACCTTTTCAACACAGCTCCCTAATTTAATCGTGGGCTATATATTCTCGTCGACAACCGGCTGCATTCCCCAGAATTAATGCACAGAAGGGTCTCATTTATTGCAAGGCGCCGCATCCACTCCACAGCCATGAAGCGTACCAGAGAGCACTCCTCAAATGACCCGGCAGCTCCGTCGCCTTCCCGCCCTCGGACAAGTCAACCACTTCAACGCCCTGCCTTTGGCTTGCCTCTGAACTGGAGGCCTGAGCGGTCCTATGGCCCGAATCAGAAATTTTACTTTCCGAACGCAGTTGCAGAATGGAGCGCCATCGAGGCCACCCTCCGCGAGACTTCAATGCTTGCTGTCATGAACCTCTTGACAGACAAGGACGAATGGAGACGGAAAGTTTTTGATGAATCCATCGTAGAACATTGGAGAAAGGATGCCGTGACAACAGAGGGCCAGGGCTTCTCCGATGAGATGTTCGACTTTGTAAGTATCCGAAACCACCAAACAGGCCCGATAGCTTACTTATCGCCATAGTGTATCGCGGAGCTGCGAGACAAAGCTAAGGAGCACGAAAGCACTGGCATGGTAGTTCTTTTTGATCAAGAAGCTGCCGCAGTCAAGTCAGACTCGATAGTCCCGTCTGAGCTCAAAGAAGAACTCCAGGCCGTCGCAAAACTACTTGAGGATGTCCCGGAAAAAGACAAAGATTGGCATCCCAACTCTGACAATCAGGTTCTTGACCTTGTCCATCCTTCTCTCTTTCCCCTTATGTACGGCCGCTCAAGAATCATTCCTGAAGAGAGAGGGGACTGCATACTGGATGACTGTTTTACCAATCACAGCAACGAAATCATCCCGACTCCATCTGACGATGAGGCCTATGAGAATATAGGCTCCTCCAACGTGGGCGGATCTCCTCCGCTCTGGTCCAAAAAGTACCAGTGGCTTCCCTCTGAAGTCCGCTTCGATGGCGACGCCGACGTCAAGATAACCAGCTACATCAACAATCTTCACCCCGTGCTCCACAGAAATATTTATCCAGTCCTCGAGAAGCTCATTGCTAAAGCCATTCCTGCGTGGTCACTGGCCCTCGGTATTGTGAAGGCAAGAAGATACAAGTGGCGAGAAGACAACCTCCGAATCCCCTGTCCGCACGGCGCCACCTACGAAGAGGTCTGGCCAGAAAAACAGAAGAAGCCAGCCAGGCCAGCCGCCGGTGATACGCCCTCCGAACAAGACCTCGGTTCGCAAGACAGCGACGACGAAGATTACGAGGACAGCGAAGAAGACGACTACGTCGCCTGGCGTGAGGCACACCGCAAGCTCGTCCTCCCACAACCGCGGGCTTACCGCCCCACGCCCTCTCCGGACTACGACTTGCGCCGCGAGTTCGCCGCCCAGGGCCTGCAGGTCATTGTCAAGCTCGCCAACATCCACCTGATGCCGTCCAACCCCAGCTACGCCGGCGGCTCCTGGCACGTCGAGGGCTGCCTGAACGAGCGCATCTGCGCCACGGCGCTGTACTACTACGATGAGCAGAACATCACGACCTCGCGCCTCGCCTTCCGCCAGCGCATCAGCACCGACTCCTTGTACTTCAACAAGACCGCCGGCCAAGACGACTACGGCGGAATCGAGTATCTGTACGGCATCGAGAGCGATGGACCTGCCATTCAAAGTGTGGGGAAAGTCGAGACGAGGGAAGGCCGCTTGCTCGCGTTTCCGAATGTGTGGCAGCACTGCGTCGAGCCGTTTGAGTTGCGCGACAAGACGATGCCGGGGCATAGGAAGATCGTGGCGTTGTTCTTGGTCGATCCGTATCAGAGGGTTATTTCGACGGCGAACGTGCCGCCTCAGCAGAAGGAGTGGTGGGGGAGGGAGGTGCGCGGGAGCGGGGTGTTGGGAAAGCTGCCCGAGGAGCTGGTGCAGCAGGTACTGGATGAGGTGGATGACTGGCCGATCGGGTTGGAGGAGGCCAAGGAGGTGAGGCTCGATTTGATGAAGGAGAGGAGGGTGTATCAGGAGGGCGTTCAAGCGAGCTTGGACGAGGCGACCTTTAACTTCTGTGAGCACTGAGAGATGGCATGATGGAGAAGGGCTGGTGTTGCGTGTTACTGTATTTTACGCATCAGAAGATGATATAGATACATCAGCATACAACTTGAGTTACAGATGGAACCTTCAGCAGTTCCAGAACCCCTAGCAATTCTAACACCTCCAGCAGCGCCACGACAGCTAACAATCGTGTGTAAATTGCTCCTACGCACGTCGGCACCAAAGGAAATGATCGCTCGCAATTCTCCACAAAGAATTTTTCGACGTGCGTAGACACTTTTCAGACGTCGATGTGTATTGAATAATTCGCTAGATAGTAGCTTCAACTATCCACTTGAGTGGAGCTAAGATGCTGATAAGAACACAGTTACTAAGAAATAGTTGCGATGGGTCAGATCTTTCGGTACCCACTGTACTACGAATTCTTAAGCGTAAAGATTCGCAGATACGAATATACGAAAATACGCAGATACGAATGTACGGAGATACGAAAATACGAGCTGGTTTCTGTATTGCCTTCATTGTCCTTATATTTTAATGAACGAAAAATGTTGTGGCCGGACACGTTAACTGTTTTATTCATCCCAGAATGTCCGTAAGTCCTCCGCCCTTTCCGGACTAGTTTTACCGCAAAATCCTGCTTTATTTATGTCCTCTCTCCATAATTCCAACATGTGGTTCAATCCGTAGTATTGACAAGGCAGTCCCGAGGTAGTCTTAAGGGTTCGACATTTTCACACAGCAACGCGCCTGCGCGGATCGCCAACCTGCCGAGGAAGTCTCAGAGGGACGTGCACACGGCTCCGGCTCCAGCTTTCGGACCGCGACTAGAGCGCTCATTCGGACCCGGCAGCAACGTCATCATTGAACCCAACCGAAAGAGCTTGGAACGGGAGAAGCAGCCGTTTCGACCGGATGTCGGACGTGCCGAGATTGCTCCCTTTTAACGCGCCCATCGCCACGCGGGAGCTTGGTATACCCCGCTATCCTACACAAGCCTCCTACCCGTCGAACATATTGTCCGCGCTCTCATACGTCTTGTACCGAATGCCGAAACATGCCGAACGACCGGACCTGTCTGCCATCCGTCCATGATGACGCCGAGAAATGCCATGACGGACCGATCCAGCGAGTCTACGAACGGGCCGCGGGAACGCTCTGTCTCAGCCCGCCCTTGGTGTTACAGCGCCAATCTAGGCTTGCTCGCTTCGCATCCAGCCAGTCACATCGCAAGGAGTACGGCGGTCCTTTAGAATCATAGCTGGAGACGCGGGCGTGCTAGTCAGTTCCCGTTTGGTACTTAAAGCCACGCTGCTGCTGAGCCCATGGTGCCTGTGACACCTGCTCTTCTTCCTCGTGCTCCAGAACATAGTCCCTTGCTTCTCGATTTTTCGCTACACCACATCTCAACATGGATTTTTCAGGGAAGATCGTCCTCATCACCGGCTCTGGTGGAGGTTTGGGAAAGGCCATTGCCGAGGCATACCTGAACGCCGGAGCGAAAGTGTCGATTTGCGACATCAATGAGGAGCGCCTTAACGTAACGGCAGGCGAGTTCAAAAGGACGCATGGTAACGACAAATTCCTTGCGACGGTCACCGATGTCACCGATGAAGCTTCCGTCAACGAGGTTTTCGCCAAAACGATAGAAAAGTTCGGCCGCCTCGACATCATGATCAACAACGCAGGCGTGGCAGATAAATTCGACCCAGTTGGTGCCGTCGACCGCTCCCTTTGGGATCGCGTCCTCGCCATCAACCTGACTGCACCCTTCCTCTTTTGCAAGCTGGCAGTCAATCAGTTCCTCGCACAGGAGCCTGCTGGCGGCGTCATCGTCAATATCGCGTCCGTCGCTTCCCTAAAGAGCGGCATAGCCGGTTCGTACTCTCCTCCCTACGAGACTACCTTTTTCTCCCCCCAGAAAAATCTCGATCCCCGAATCCCTTACCACTGCTCTTTCTTTTTCCCCCTCTCTCTTTAGCCTTGAAGAAGAACTGCTTGCTGAGTAGCGTCAACAACAACAGGTGCCGCATACACAGCTTCCAAGCACGGCTTGCTCGGACTGACCAAGAACACGGCGGCCATGTACAACGCAAAGAACATTCGAACCGTCGCGGTGCTACCGGGAGGTATGCAAACGAACATCAGCGAGGCCATGGCGACTGGAATGAACCAGGATGGCTGGGCAGTCGCTCAAAGGCAGATGATTCAGACCCTGAACGACCTCCAGGACGTTGCGCAAACTGTGCTGTTTTATACGAGCCCTAGCGCAAAGGGCAGCAATGGAGCCGTTGTGACCGTGGATGGTGGGTGGTTGACTTTTTAAACTCGGAATTGCCGGAGCCGCGGTGTTTAGGATGATAGTCTAATTGAATTTGGACCGCAGTCTGCGCATTTTCTCAGGGGAGCCGGTGAATAATGATTGTCTTAGTAACGTGGTCACAAGGTGCGTTAATTAAGAACTGGTGCCTTTAAGCTTAAAGTCATCAATGCAGCAAGGGGGTCTCCTGTTTCCCATTTGCTGCAAATGCCGAGATGTTCTACCGAACCCTGCACGATGATGCTCGTACCCATTTACATGGTACCCGACTCCAGCAGCAGCTCTAACATTATTTAAATTGCCCCACACCCCGCGTCGTGATGATCAGCCCACAAGCTATCTGGCCTTTGGTGATGTCATGCTGCCAATATCCCTGTGATAGTCTTTCACTCAACTCTTTCTCAATCTGGAGTTCCAATGCAAAGAGGATTATGCAGCACCGCGTCTGAGGGCTCAATTCAATTGCTATTTGCAAGTCATATTGTGAAGAATTACGTGAGTCTTTTATGGTAGGTCCACCCCACATTTTGCATGGGTCAAAGAGGGGTTGAGCGGAGCTTGTACTTGCCGTGGAACGGACGGACGGCAGTGCCGGCTGCATAAGTAATCAAGACGACTGTAGACTCTGCTGTATCTTCATATATATGTGTGTTCACGTTCCTTGGACACCAGCTTGCAAGCTCTTACACCATTAGTTGATCCCTTACCCAAACCACTTCCGTCAATCATGCCACTCAAGACATACCACCACATTTCGTCCGTCAAAGGGCTTTCCTCGGTCACAACTCTCATAACCGGTCCCAAATCTTCCATCCTCATCGATCCCCCATTCCTGCTTCCTGACGCTGAATCCGTCGTCGCCTGGGTTAAGAAGACCGCGCCAAACACGCAAGCAAGTGAAACCTTTATCAGACCAATGTCCCCACCCCCAAGCACTAAATAACACTAACATCCTCGACTCTTTTCGCAAAGCTCTCTGCCATCTTCACGACCCACCACCACCCGGATCACTACTTCAGCGTGAACCCCATCCTCGATGCCTTCCCCGGCGCACGCTTCCTCGCCGCGCCCTACGTGTGCGCGGGCATCGAGCGCGAGTACGACTCCAAGGTCATGTACTGGCCCGCGCAGCTCGGCGCGCACAACTTCTCGCCACGACCGCCCGCCAAGCCGGAACCGTATCCTTTCAGCTTCGTATCCGTCGACGGTGAGCCGGTGTTCTTGCTGGGACCGGTGCAGGGAGATGCGGTGGACCATACGCTGTTTTGGGTGCCCGGGGAGAGGACGCTTATCGCGGGAGATGCAGTTTATGCGAGGAGTAATCATGTTTGGTACGTTTTCTGCACTTTCTTTGAGCTTCCCTTTTTTCGTTATAGTGCCTGAATTCTTTCAATGCACTTCTTTGACACTGAAACGTGTCTTGCTTCTTCTGGAGAGTTTGCTTTACTTCTTTAAAGGAGAGCGAGCAACCCTAAGCTAACTAAAAATGCTACAGGGCCGAAGAAATCGAAACTCCAGCTGTCCTTGCTGCGTGGTTGAGTACACTGGATCTGATTGAGTCTTTACAGCCGGCCAAGATCATCCCGGGCCACATCGAGGAGGGCTGGGAACTCGATGCGGAGAAGGATCTCGCGCACAACCGCGCGTACCTACAGCTCTTCAAGGAAAAGATCCAGGAGGCACCGAAGAAACCATCGGTGGACGACATCTACAACACGTTCAAAGAAGCCTTCCCGGCGGCGGATAAGAACTTGGACTTCTTCCTTGGACACCTGTCCAACCAGTTTGGCGAAGGAGGCGAGATTTGGGAGGAGAACAGGCATCACCGGGTAGCTCAGAAAACAAGTGAGGAATTAGAGGGATGGAAGGTTCCGCTGCAGATTAATTAATGTTGTTGCATGCGGGGACTGCGATGCCCATTCTTCTTCTCTGCAGTTACAAATAGTGGCGCAAATAGCGGGACAGCAAGTCCGGAATCTTATTTCAAGAGCGAAAGGAAGAGATCTGTGAAAATCAACGCATTCCGACGCACAGCATCAATCAGAGCCTTGGATATTATTCCCATGGTTTCCTCTCATACAGTGATACTACACGTGATCATTCTACTACACGAAGGTAGCTGCAAGGAAGTCCCTAGGACATAGGTCTTGTGTACCAGCTACACGTCCGAGGTTTCTTGTATTCGACAGCGGCGCGACGTCTAATCTTCACTTCCACATTGTCGCCAGATAGCTCTACCGTTACAACCTAGATTGTATGATAGGGTCTCTAACTGACTTGCACAGGTTCTCCATATATTGCTGTATCATTAGTCAAACTTACGTGGGTCCCGGAACTGACAACAACAAATACCCCCGCAAGTCAAGACTGTTAGATGGGAGGACTGTATGAAGGCTTGTCTTTTGGGGGAAGTGTCTGATATGTATGGAAAGCTGGCTGCAGCGCAGTGCGTATTGAGATGTCACTGAGGGACCAATGGTTCATAGATGTACACAGCGCGGATACTCGTTTCTCTGATGAAAAGCTTATTCAAATTTGACATTCTGCTGAAACTAATAATGAGACTGAGAGGCCCCTATGGTGTGCCATAATCATGGAGTTCGGAATTGCCAGGTTGTTCTACCGCCGTCTGTCAGCTGTGCGGTTTTCTCTTTAGCCATCCGATTCATCGCATCAATCTCAGTCTGTGCTGGGTTCTGAAGATCCACACCATGGAACAACAAAGCGATACTGGATGCCTTCCATAACGGAGCACCGACTTTTCTGTTGACGAGAATAGTCACGACAAGGTGAATTATAGAAAGAGCAAGGGTGATCAAGGGAAAAGCCATCCATCCCCATCTCACGCGGACATAAGTTTCGTCATGTATTGCCAAGCCGGGAACCATGTAGCTGGAGGTTGACGTGCGCACCTGCTCCGTCATGCTTGCAGCAATTCTTTCAAAGGTGGGCGCGAGGTCCCGATCTCTGAAGATGGCATCTGCCAGCCCGTATAGTCCTGTTTGCTGCTCGGGAAAAACGGGAAACCGCTCGTGGCCTTTGAATTGCGTGAGGTTGAACAATGAGTTGATGAATAAGCCCACCCGTTTTGCATGCGCAGGGCTGACCGCGAATACCCTCGCCTCTTTTGGGAAGTCACGGGCATTGGAATCCGGGACCGTCAGCACGTCACACCGGCCAGCATCGGTCTGCAAGTATGAAAGTTGTCCGTCTTCTTCAAAATGCTGATCGATCTGTGAAATTGCGGTCGGGCCAAAGTTGAGCGTAGATCCGTTGCTAACGCTTGCTCCAGTGAAGACTTGGCCGCACCAGTACAGCCCACACGCGGTGATCTCGGGAGCCAGAACCTCGGGTGTGATATGTGGCTGACCTAATTGGTCCTCATCAAAATAAGTCGCGTACGCAAGGATAGTGGCAATGAATCCTGACGTAGAAAGTATATTTTTGCCTAGCCCTTGGTCGAGCGGTGGAGCAATGACTTTGATTTGTGTCCACTGACCAGCGTATTCGGCGGGACGGGAATTGTTGGCCGGGAAGTGGATGTTTTGAATGTGTGTATCGAACGTGATGTTTTCATTGATTTGGTAGGAGCAGTTTGTTGATGAGAACGCCCATGCATCATCCTCAGCGGGAATCAAAGGCCCGTTGGTGGTGTTGCACGTTGGTTCGATGATCGATGTCAAGTTGCGGCACGTGCTGCAAACCCCAAGGGATACAACTGACTGCGGCCAAAAGCAGACCGGACTGGTACATCTGAAAGTAGATGAGGCCAAACTCGAGAGATAGATTCCGTTCAATATGGCACCTTGCATTGTAGCGTTTTCGATACTATCGAGAATCTGTGTGGCGGCCAGATTTGCAATACCCTCTGACTGTTCAACAAGCCTGCTAGGATATGCGATTATCTGCTGAGCAAATGGATCCAGTGCCATGGACAGAATCGTCAAAACTGCTCCGATAGTTGCGATCCAGTCTCTCCACGGTTCTCTGCGAAGGAGTTGCAAGGCGCCCCAGGGACCTCTGCTGGCTTCGTCGTACTCTTGCATCAGGATTAGAGGATGGGGTTCCTGCCGGAAATGAAGCCATTTGGCCTGGCTGATACATTCGCTGATGGAGAGGACCAGGCAAGACTTTGCGACAGTAACGAAAATGGACACGAGAGAGTTCGGTTGGATGGGGAGAGTCCAGTCACTTAACGCTTTTCCATCCTTCAGTACCAGGACGACGACAATTGCCATGATACATGCCGTTCCCAGAATCACGCAAACAATCTCCCAGTACCAGCAATTATTCAAATATGTGTCCAACTTCACTATACTCCTGGTCAGGTAATTACCCGTGGCTTCATCATCATTCAGAAAGGGATCTGGGGCGGTAGGCTCAATAGTCTGGCTTGGAGGATGAGAAGTGAGGGTGGTGGGCTGTGGAGTAGGTGACGATATTGTAGTATCCTGGGGGCTTTTTGAAGGTTGGGGGCTTGCTGAGCCGGGCCTTGCGCCATCCGTCTGGTTGAGTTCACGATCAGACGAACGGACAGATGACGCGCTGTTCGGTAAAGCGGTAAGAGGGATTGACTGGTGGTCAGTATGGTTTTCCATGTTGTAGATATTTCTGCTTTGATCTGGTTTCATGTGCATTGAGTACGAAGATTTCAGCTCCGCTCATCTCACAACTCACTTGGGCGTCTTCTCTAATATTACCCTCCCGTGAGCTTTATGCCGATCGATCTGGATTTGGCGAATTCTATTCAGCTCGCTACACCTGTCAATCTAAAAGCCTCCCTATTGTACACGTGAAGCCTGCTGTGCTACTATGCTGGGCTGACACGATCGGCTATCGTTCAATTGTCGTCTTTGCAGTAAGACATTCCAAACTTCACGCAAGCCACGCATTTCAGCAGTAAGCCGAAAAGATGGTGACCAAGAGTTTGCATAGCGGAAAGTGCCGTGAAGAATTGTGTTTCTCAATCCTCGCTTTAATAACAGGCAAACTTTGGCGACTGAGCTGACCACCTCCTGGCGTTGGTGGCTTGGAATATGCGCCTCCATAGGACGCCAATGAGAAGAGGCGTTAGCTCGTGATATTTAGTCGAGCGGGGTTAGCCTGCATCCACCTAGAACCACGTCGCCTTGATAGGCCTAGGATTTATATGTTTTTGCCGTATTAGCTGCTTCAGCCAATCATATATCCTGAGATAAGGACCTAGATAATTATAAGATAGCCGGATCTTTTGTGTGAGGGCAATTTCCTTTTCCTTTCTTCCCCACTACTGTGACTGGGCGTACTATATTATTCACTAACTAAATTGGGATCTTGACATGATATACTCGATTCACTTCGAGGCTCTCTTTTTACTTCTCTTTGTTCTCCATCGCGCTTGGGCGGAATTACCCATCTACATCGACCTTGTCCCTGGCTATGGTAACCTTTCCGGCTGTGCCGAGCCTCCGCTTCACGACATTGTCCGCAATATGGCTAGCGGATGTGGCGATGGGTCACATCTGACGTCATATACGTGCTTCTGCACCGACAGCTACAGCAAGTTCCTTTACGATATATCTACTGCCGTGTCATCACAATGCACCAGCACCAATCCAAAGGCACAAGCCACTAGTGCCTTAAAAGTGTTCGAGGAGTATTGCGCGAACGGTGAGAGTTACCGCCTGAATATGAGTGGCCCTACATGTAAATTTCCAGTTCTCCTTGATACAGGTAATATGCTGAATAAAGGTAGATGGCGCCGTGTTGTCTTCAACGACAATCACCACGGTGACGCCGGTGATGCACACCCCTACATATACAGAAAATGACTTCAACGATCGATTCAACTCTTCCAGCTTACGACTGGTACCCGGGCGCAATGTATACGTGCTATGGACAGCAGTAATGGCTACTAAATTGCATGAAGTTATTTTCTGACTTTTCGGATTATGCTCAGGTGTGCTGTATGATCCATTCGACTCGAAAGAACAAAGGCGGGAAGTGAAAGTCATTCTCTTTGCGCAATAATTTAAAGGCTACTTTTGAAGAGATCACAAAAGAAAAGGACATGTGTGTCATTTGTATCGTAGCCGCTATTAAGCTAGATATACAATATGAATGCGAATTCAGATTCATGGGATTGTGTATGGAGGGATATAGGTCCTAAGAATTGCGAAGCAAGCTACATGAACTACAACAGCCAATCGACAGTTTACCCTTCTCACCCGTCCACCAATGATGAAATTGAGCCAAAAACAGCGCTCTGGGTCAGTAAGCAAACTACTCCTATTACTGGTTGAAATCGATCACGATTCGACCGGCAATTTCTCCTCGCCGTAGCTGCTGCACCGATTCTGGTAACTTACTTAGCGGCCTTACTTCGCAAATTTGCTGTAGCAAGCCGCGTCGGGCATACTCAAGTGCCGCCGCCGTATCTTTCATGGTGCCTACAATGGTTCCAATGATATGTAAATTCCTATTAATGAATTGGTATGGTTCAGCCCCGACGAAGGTAGACCCAACACTCGCTACTCCGTGGGTTAGTGCAGATATTATGAAATCTGAAGGGAAACTTACGAAGACCGACACACATTACTTTCCCCCCGATCCTATCTCCAATGTAGCGAATGGCATCTGCATAGGCCTGGGGCGCGATAACGAAGACGGCATGGGCGCCGACCCCACCACAAAGCCTCTTCACTTCTGCGACGACATCCGGTTCTGTCCGAAAGTCGACAAATGCTTCTGCGCCCAATCTCATGGATAGGTCTCGCTTTTCATTCCCACCGTCGATGACGATTGGACGCATTCCCATAGCTCTAGCGAGTTGAACGCCTTGGATTCCGACACCACCAGCCCCTCCTGGGAATACAGCATAATTGCCCGCCTTCAGACCAGATTCAGTCAGAGAGCGATGCATGGTGGAGGCACTACACATGATTGGTGCAGCAATATGGTCTGGGACCTCGTCCGGAATCGGAGAAGTGTATCTCGCGGGGGATGTGATATACTGCTGGTACGTTCCTGCTTTCTGTAAGTGCTTCTTCGAGGCAAAACTACAATTCCCGTTTCTTACCGCTCACGTGTAGGCCTGTAGAAACCACCTTTGAACAGTAATTTTCCAGTCCATCCCAACACAACTCGCACTGCCCACACACGTCCCAGAGAGGCTTGACGCCTCCACGATCACCGATTTTCCAATTCTTCACATTGGCCCCAACCTTCACCACGACACCGGCTCCTTCGTGGCCAGGGCTTCTTGTACCAAAATGAGACATGGGAGGGTCTTTCCAATCGTGCTGCATGAAGTGAACATCCGACATACAAAGGCCAGTGACATTGAGCTTCAGCAGCAACTCGTCTGGGCCTTCTCTATCTGTAAGTGTCCACAGCGCCTCGTGACAGCTTTCGCAAGGTAGTGCCCACCCGGTTCTGGAACATCAACATCCTGAATCTCCAGCGTGAAATTCTCCCCCTCGTTGATGACAACAGCGGCTTTGCATTTCTGGGGAATGGCGATTTCGGGTACAATCTTACTCGAAGTCAATTCTCGGTTATTCATCATAGGCGACTGAACGAAGAATACTGCAAAATATCTACTTTGAGGGTGGCCGCATCTAAATAAAAGTTTTCCTCGGGTTGGTTGAGTGATCCGCCGGAATTTATCACCATTTCCAGCACGTTGCTTCCGGTGGAACACTGAGCACGATGCTTCCAAGCTTAGCTCACAAAACACAAATTCCCTTATCGAGCGTCGCCGACACATATGGCAGCATTGCCAGTTTTGGCATCCCTACCGCTGTTATCCAGCCTACAGGAGAGCATCGACTATAAAACAATGTCCACTGTCATTCATTCTCACTGGTTGGCTTTTTTCTTTACATTTTCTTTTTTCCAACCCGCTGTCCTTGCTTACCAAGAACCATGAATACAGCGCAGGTGGCCAAGGATATCAACACCATTTTCATTTTCATCTCACGCGAAGATGTACCAGACATCACCACAGCGGAGCCAGTCGACTGCATAATTCTCTGCGTTTCATCCGTCCTCCACAGCGCCGAGACCGTTTTCAAAGCCCTCCAAGCGCGTCCGCATCTCACGAAAACCCTAGTTCTCTGTGGCGGAATCGGCCACTCAACCAGATACATCTACGAAGCAGTCGCCCGCCACCCCCGGTTCAAGGATGCCGCAGCCGAGATCCAGGGCCTCCCCGAGGCCCAGGTGCTCAACGTTCTTTGGACCCGCTTCTTCACCTCGCCAGACCCGAAGGAGCGCGGTCCACGCGTCCTGCTCGAAGACCGCTCCATCACCTGCGCCACGAACGCCATCGAAGCGCGCAAAGTCCTCGAGCGCTCCGGCATCGATCCTCCCAGCTCCGTCATCGTCGTTCAAGACCCCACCATGGTCCGCCGCACGGTCGCGTGCTTCGACAAGGTGTATGCCGACACGACACCCAAGGCCCCGCGCTTCGTCGGCTGTCCGATTTTCGTCCCGCTCGTTCGGCCGGCCCAGGATGGTGCTCAGATCGAGTACGATCTGCCGGCTGGTTGGTCGGCAGGGGATATGTGGAGCATGGATCGGTTTTTGGAGTTGGTCATGGGTGAGATACCCCGCATGCGAGACGACGACAAAGGGTACGGGCCGAACGGCAAGGGTCATATAGTTCATGTGGATATCCCGGATGAGGTTGAGCAAGCATGGGCACGTCTCATCGACGCACTTCCTCATCGCAGATATTGATGCGTGACCGGAGGGGAGTGACTGAGAAGGGCTTGCCTTATAATTGCATCATCTAGCTAGCCGCTCGAATCCAATCTACCCCGTTAGTTACGAAATGATTTTGGATTTTGTAGACGCTCCTGACTTGGCTGCTCCGCTGTAGACCAAAAAGAACCTTGATGGTTCCGCCGGGAGCTCATGCTGTTAAAGGAATAGCGCCTCCGCCGGAACGCCATCTGATTTCGAAAGCCCATGCCGTCCCAGCACCTTAATCTAACACAACTCATAACGCGCTGACGCTCCATCGCGTTTCGGGTCGGAGGATGGGCCCGTCTCCGACGGCTTTCCGAAGTCAAGGAAAGTTCCGAGTGCTCGCCAACGCTGCTAACGACGATGCCAGCGAATGGCCAAGCTTCCCAAATCGCAGTTACGAGCTGACACAGACACTCCACTGGATGATAGATCATAGCCGCTTCGCCCGAGCCAAGTGTAGTCCCACCGATTAGGGTAAAACAACAACAAAGAAAATACGACTTGCTCGAATAGGTGAAAGGTCTGTCATCAACACGGTACAACAAGCAGTGGGGCGTAACAGAAAACGAGGAGGTAGATGTCACAAAGACCCCTTTTCCCGACAAAAAGCAGAAGATGGTGTGGCTCGGCTTACACAAGTTCAGCGCTCGTATGTAGAACGGGCTGCAGCAAGGCTGTCGGCGGGGACCTCCGATCTCGTATAACCACAGACGAACCAGATCAATTGAAAAAATTAGAAGAAGGCAGTCGATATCGATTAGAGGAATGGCAGCCGGCTTGGAAAGCGCTGCCGGGGCCCGGATGAAACGGTCGACGACCAGGGTCTGCCCGCGCTTCCCGCTTCCCCGTCGCGATCCCCACGCTGAGAACCGCTGCGCCGGCGCCCGCCCTACGACATCGTTCGCGAACCGAAGATAATCTCCGTATTTCCCCTCTCTTTACTCGTTCTCTGCTTTCTTTGCTTTTTTTTCCTTTTCCTTGGTAAATCAGCTCATTGCTGAGGCTGCAGTTTCCATGCTCATCCATTGATGACAGACGGTTGAAAGTGCACCCGATTCGCTGCTCACGGACCGCCCTGGCCTTTCGAGGCGCGGGAATGCGCACCGGGAACAGGGAGACCAAAAAAGCGACCAATGCCAGGTCGTGTGACGAGATCTTGAGGATCGCTGTCGGAAAAGCAAAAATATCGTTGAGATCGCGGGCTGCACGCTTCCATTTCGGACATGAAATCTTACGGTGCCGTCATGAGGTTCCCACAAATGAGGCTTGTGGGCTGTCAGGCACATCAAAAATAAGGTTCATCTCGTGGGAGCCGGCGGTAAGCGACCCTTTTTAGTGCAGATTTAGTTGGTTTTTGCAAATGGACCGCTGCTTCGGTGCCTGCCGTGCAGATGGTGCGACATTGACAGATAACCGCGTCCAAGACGTTGCACAATCCCTTGCATGAGAGAGGGGAATAGTCGCTCAGCATGGGTCTACCTAAGGATCGCTCTCGCCCTGTTCTTTTGCCTGGGTCACCTCGCATTGGATGCGTCTGGGATATACATACCTCCGACCACGCGTGGTGAAATGGATCTCTGAGTAGCACAGGGACACATGCGGCTCACGACCGACCGCCCAGTTTTAACCACCACCTATCATGCTTTTAGGCATACTCGATACTTGCGCCCAAGCCGTTGAGGAGTCACTGTGCTGGGGATTATTCCACCAGCAATGCTTGAATCTTTACGGCCTCCTCTGGAACTTGTCTTTGCATGGCAGACCTCACAGTTCCCGCACGGCATCCGGCGAGGCTGGGGCATCGTCATTCTCATCGGCATCCTTTTTCCTATATGTATTCTCGCCGTTGTTCTTCGCACAAGACTTAGAGTACGAAGACGAAGCTTTGGCGTTGACGATTGTTTGATAATATTCGCTGTGGTCCGTATCATGATCACTTCCTACGACATCGATAGAGCAAACTAACCTCCAGTAGTTATTTGCAACTGGAGTAGACACTTGTATAATCCTTGGTCCGTTATCTTTCATAGCTTTCCTCGCAATAGGTAGTACACCTACTCTGATGATGCTGATACCGTCTTGACAGGTTTTCGTCTCTACGGATACGACCGACACGTCTGGGACATCACCCAACCGGTAGCGCTCCAAGCGCGAAAAGTATGCTTTCCGTTTGATTGCACAAACTCCGTTGTCCCCAACTGATCACTCCCTCCAGATAATGCTCGCCGTCGAACTCCTCAACTCGACGAGCACCTGCCTCACCAAAGTCTCGATCCTCTTCTTCTACCGGCGACTGGGCCGCGGCACCTACACAACAACCTTCCTACTCGTGGTCCAAACCAACATCGTGCTCATCGGCGCGTACCTGCTCTCCTTCTCCATCGTGCTCCTGCTGACGTGCCACCCGTTCGCGGCGCACTGGCTGCAGTTCTCCATCGTGTGGACGGCGCGCAACACGTACCGCTGCATGGACGAGGCGGCGACGACGGTGGCGGCCAACGCCGTGTCGATCGCGCAGGACTTTGTCGCGTGCTGCCTGCCCGCCGTGCTGCTGTGGAAGCTGCAGATGAGTCGGAAGAAGAAGGTGTTGCTGGGGTTGCTGCTGGGGTTGGGTATTCTGTACGTTGTCCTCCACCACCTCCTCCCCACCTGGTGTCCTGAAAGAGGAGTGCGTCGCTAAAGTGATGCAACAGCCCCTGCGTCGCCGGCGTCCTCCGCCTCTACTACACGGTCCGCGTCTACCAGAGCTACGACGCGACCTGGACCGCACACACGGTCCTGGTCTGGACCGTCATCGAGAACCACCTCGGCATCCTGTGCGCCTGCGCCCCGGCGCTGCACTCGTACGGGAAGGAAGTGTGGCGGTCGTACTCGTCGCGTCCGTCGTCCTGCGGGCTGCTGTCGTGCTGGCTGTGCACTAGTACCTTGAGCTTGTTCAAGTATCTGGGGAGCCGCTCGACGGGTCGGACGTCGTCGTCTTCGTCGTCGTTCTTTCGGCGCAGTGGCAAGAGGAGGAAGAGGAGGAGCGCGAGCGGGCATATTGAGTTGGAGGAGAACATCGTTGGGAAGGGTGGTAGCGGTGGAGGCAGTGGTGGTGGTCGCGGCGGCAGTAGCAGCGATGGGAGCGGCATCGGCAGTGTTGGTAGTGGGAGGTTTGGCAGGAGGACAGGGTCGAATGACGATGGTCGTGGGAGTCGGGGCGCCGGCACACTGCTATCGTCGTTGTCAGTGTTGGATGAGAGGGGCTCTGAACGTTCAATCATGATGGCTGGAGGGAGCGGGAACAACAGCGACGATAGCGACCTGGAGCGCGGACGGACAGACGTTGGAGTGTGGGAGTTGGAAAGTCCACGGGAGGTGGTGTTGCCAAACAGATTGCCACAGCGAGTGCCGCCTGCATACCTGAGGACGGATCAACAGCAGCAGCGGATGCAGGACCGACGCGCTACAATCCCCTTTCCTACGACAAGGAAATCCACGCGAGAAGGTCACCGGTCGGAAGACGATATCGGGCTAGCAATCACGAGGGATCCGATTGCACCTGTGCAGCAATATAGTAGAAGGAACGGTATGAAGCACAATTGAACGAATTATGCTGTCATTGCCTCGAGACAATCGCATGATTGACAATCAGTCTGCGTCGAACAAACAATTACGTATAATGGTATCAGCCTTTTCCAAAGCACCCAGAACGCCGCCCTCGACAGACATCTCTCCTCCGCCATCACCCCAACGACGCCTGCGCCCACCCCACCACCAGCGCCGCCAACGTGAGCATCCAACCCGCCACCCCAAACGCGCCCTGCACATCATCGCCCCTCTTGCACGCCCACACGACCGCAAACACGGAGCTGCCGAGCACGAAGAACAGCATGACGAGCAGCCACACGCGGTCGGCGAGGAAGCCCTCGACGAGGTTGATGCCCCAGCCGACGCCGACGTCGAGGCGGGCGCCGCGGCGCTTGGGCGCGCGCGCGTACGTCACGAACTCGTTGTCGTAGTCCTCCGGGTGCGCGAACAGGTGCATCAGGTACTGCGTCCCCACCGGCGGCACCAGGTCGTGCGGCTCGAAGTCGTAGACCGGGTTGCCGTGTGCCGCTTGTTTGGAAGAGGAGACCGGAGGCATGTCCGGGCATTTGCGGATGTCGACGACGCGGTTGCGGTGGACTTCGAACTGTCGTGTACTAGTTAGCAGTGTTGTGTGAGAGAGGGGTTAGAGACTTACCTGCACGAAATCGATGCTCGTCAGGCCGCGCAGGCGCAGGATCCGCCACCACTTGCGGTTGACGTGCGAGTACAGGCTGCGCACCGCCATGGCGAGATCCCGGTCGGACCGGATCTTCGTCTCGGTCACGTCGACGTGCGACAGCTTGGTGGTGAACTCGCCCTCATCCGCACAGGTCAAGAGCCACCGCGTGGGCGGGAGCGTGCTGACGCGGACGGAGAAGGGATTGTTGCTTCGGAGCGCCGTCGGGCTGTAGTTCGAGGGCGACACATCCCCGCCGCCGAGAGATCCCCATGTCGTGGCCGGGGAAGGAGCCAAGGATGGGTTGTTGCTGAAAACCTGGCTGGGCTCGGAGAAGCTGCTGTGGGCGCTGTGTGACGGGCTGCTCGGCGACGCATGGGCACGCGGTCTGTTGAGGTATGCTTCCAGCTCGCGTGCAGCACCCCGGCGGCGCTCGATGAAGTCATCGTAGAGCTCTTTTCCGCATGTCTGTAGAATAACTGTCAGCCTACATGCAGTCTGTTGCAGGAACCAAGGCGTGCTTACGCAGGTCCAGCGGACGCGGACGTGATCCTTCGGCACTGGCTTCTCGGGCCCGTAGGCGTCGTACAGGCCTGCTGCCACGCGGCCCAGCTGTGCCAGTGTAGCCTTGGTTGCGTGCGACAAGAAGCTGTGCACCGGGCTTCGTTTTTCTGGCAATGGCCTGATTTCGATATTGGACGGCAACCACAGGCTGCCACCCGGGCTGTCGGGCTCGGACAGGTTCAGCGTGGGCAATGTGACAGATCCGTCAAACGAACCCTGGCTCGCATCCCTGAGCTCGTGCATGGGACCGTTGGATTCGAAATGAGGAGACATCTGGCTGCGCACATCATCTTGCCGCACCTGCATCGGCGTGTGTACTGCAATGGGTCCTGACGCCATCGGTACATTGTTGGTGGTGCCATCGGACCCGGGGCCGCAGTTCGTGGATATTACGAGCTTCCCAGATGCTTCAGGGATCTGCAAATCGTGTTGGGTGCTTGCGCCTTCCCATCTCGGCGCGCTTCGGCTCGTTGCCGCCATCGAATCTGCCTCCCGCCGTGCCGTCGAGATCGTCGGACGATCCACACCAGTCGCGACATCATTGCCGATTGCGATGCTGTCCGCCTTTATCTGATCCGAATGGGGCCTAGGCGTCCCTTGAAGCTCGTGTTCGTTCGCTGACCGGCGAACCAGTTGCTTCTGCTCGTGGTGGACTGGTCCGCTGCTATCCGCTGTTTCTTGTGGTTCGAGAGATTTTCTTGCATTGTCCGAGCCCATGCGTGATTGTTGCTCATTCTCGGACTTCACCGAGCTCTGCATCAGACGTCGGTTCAAGCTTTCCATGTCTAGAGGTAACGTCCGCGATCCCTCAGAAGCCCCACTGGCGAACGTTCCGCCAGACCTAGATCTCTTCACCAGCCTGTGGGTCGCATGTCTGACAGAAAGCCCTTTCGTCGGCGTAGGGACAATACTCGACGGCGGCGAATAATCCGAGTCGCTGGTATCCATGACCGGCTCCGACCAGGCCGACGCCTCCTCCGGTCCAAAGGAGAGGGTGCGAAGGAGGCTCTCTGTCGGCGAAGTCGCCAGGAAGACATCTTCATCGCCGTCATCCCGTTCAGCCTGGTCTGCCACGGCCGCCTGATCCGCTGCACGATCCCTGGCAGGAGGCCGCTGCGGCGGCACACCAACCGCAGGACGAGGCACAGGCGTGGCAGACGACGTCGGCAACTCGAAAACGGCAGGCTCGGCTGGAGCCTCGTGGAGGCCTGGCACCTGATGGACGACGGCAGCCGGCGGCCTGGCCTCGAGCTCGACAGGCGGCAAAGGCTCTGACGGTGGTCCTCCAAGGCCATCATCATCATCACCACCGGCTGTCTGCTGCTGCTCCGGCGCTGGTTCTAGCGTCGGGGCGGCGTAAGTACGCCTGATGCTCTTTTCGTGGATGGCGCCGTTGTCCAAGCGCAGGTCAACAATCTCGTTCGCGTCCAGCGTACGCCTGAGCAGGCGCAGCACGAGTCCCTTGCGGCCTTTGCGCACGCCGGCCTTGATCATCTGGGTGAATGGTTTCTGCTGTTGGCCGGTAGCATTGGATAATTTTTGTCCCGCCCCTCCGGTTTCTGCCTGCTGCATCGAGGCGATCCATCCAGGAAGATTCTCAGCCAGGAACTGCTTCGAGACGGACTCGACCTCCGACCAGCCCTTATCAGAGACGCTCAACGGCAGATGCGCATCCAGAGTGGCCGAAACATCGTCACCGCCGCCTTGCTGCGCCGAATCCGCGCCGACAGACGCAAAATTTGGTAGGCCGGTGAGCCCGTCGTAAGACGGCGGCGGGGACCTGGTAAGGCTGCGCGCGTCCGACGACCGGATGCTGCTGCTGCTGAGCAGCGACAGCCGGTTGTTGCGGCCCTGGCACAGCGTAAAGGTTGACGGCGAGGCTGATCGCCGCTGCCAGTTCTCGACGTAATTGGTTTCCATGCGCGCGGCGATACTCGTGTGGCTGCCTGAGGTTCCTCCTACCACTCCTCCTCCTCCTCCACCTCCGCCGGCCGCGAGATTCAGGTTCCTGTTAGGAACAGGGCTGACAATGTCCTTTAGCACCCCCCGACAGGCCGAAAAATTAGCCCAGGTCCGTTCGAGAATGGGCGATTCCCAAACCAAATTCAAGGGCGCCACAGATACAGGTGCTTCTCTCTCCCCACCCCCCACAACCACCATTCACACTTACTACCTTCGACGAATGGGAACAAAAACGAAATAACGGGTTACATTACCATGGCATACACCAAGGCTAACATGGCACCCAGGCGCGGTATTCAGTCATCGACGAGACGCCCACAGCAAACAGCGCCTTATCGGTGAGAGGATGAGAGAGAGGCGACGAACAGAAAACTCACAATATCCGGGCGTAAGTGCGCGCCAGCGCGCGCGCAATCAGCCTGGCGGGGGTCCTCTTTTCTACGAGCAGGCAGCAACGGGGCGAACCAAGGCAGAAATGGAGCATCGCCCATGGGGCTGTGTGAAACCCTCACATCCCGTCCCCATCCCCCAGGCCCTACTACGCGAAGAACGGGAAAGCGCGCACGTCCAGCCGCAAACCCGCCCGCCCGCAACGCGCTAGACGATCGTCAGCCAAGAGGGAGGCAGTGACTCCTCGCCTGTCATCCGTGGCGGAGCTGAGTGGGGGCCAAGACAATGCTCGATAATTGCCGCAAGTATCTCGACGAACGATGGACGTAGGGTTTGTGCTTAGGAAAGAAATTTTTTTTTTGGTGCTGTCTTTGAAGACGAAGGAGAATGCGAGTTTCGATGGCAATGTTCTACTTGTTTCTTCCTCCTCCAAGTCTGTCGGCGGTTGCTGTGGAGTGCGGGTCGAGCGCAAGCCATCCTGAGGCGCAGCCGTGTGGGGGCGGCATTCTCCGCACGACATTGACATCCTCATAGTCGGCCGAGGCATATTTCCCTGGTAATATATGGTGAGCTCTACCGTGTGAAACACATGCACATGCGACTTGCCTGTCCTGGCGTCTTGCCTGAGATCGACAAACGTGTAGGGTCTAGACTCAAGATAGACGTCACTGAGACATGAGCGTAGATGGCGGTACGACCTGTTGTGAAATACAAATGTGGGTATCATATACGAGCATCTCGTCCATAAACTGGTCAGAAAAGCTGTACCTACTGACCGCCGCACCTCGGCCATTAACGCCTCGCTCTTCTTCCCCCTTTCCAGAGACTCTCCTTGGGTATGCAGCACACACTGTTCTCCTCGCACCATTTCTGCACAACCCAAGCCGGCAACTCCTGCATCTCCCTGTGGAAGGTTATCTCATTCACCGGGGTGTTGTCATCGTCTTCTGCTGCTTTCTTCTTCCTCTTTTTCTCCACAACAGGAATGTCTACGACCATCTGAATACCTTGATCATTAAGCCACTTCGCCAGATCTTCCGCCACGATCGGGTCGTATAAGAGCATCTTCTCGTGCCACGATGGCTTTACAGCATCGTCTGACGGCGGGCAAGCTTTCACGGCCGAAGTTACCTTAAGAAAGACGTCCTCCAAGTAATAAAGCGGGACTCGTTCACGCTTAGCACTCTTACGAGGTTTGTAAATGGGGTCGGGTATTGCAGGTCCCTCGGGGATGACCGTCATGCCGGGTTCCTCTTGCGATGGAGTCAAGGTCAAGGGCTCGGGTATCGCGCCAGCTTTTACGTGGCGTCGTGGTGAAGGACTGATTTCCTCCTGCGAATCCTCGATTTCGTCTATGTCGGGCCATTCTTCCTTATCTGCGGCTTTCGTCTTCGTCGTGCGCTTCTTCGGTGTAGCTGATGGGCTCGTCGTTCGTTTTGAGCGAGCTCCCTTCTCTGGACTTGACGTTCTACTGCTCGACTTTTCCTCCACAGCGGCCTTGGGCGGGCGACCACGAGGCCGTTTGGTCGGCGAGGTGACCTGGGTGACGAGCGTGTCTTCACCAAGACCTTGCTGGGTACGCTCTTCAGGTTCAACGCTCTTGCGTGGTCTGCCTCTCGGCCGCTTTGTGGGGGGCGCTTCTGCTTCGGAAATGGTTTTCTTAGTTCTTGCTGCTGCCTTTGTCGCCATTGTCGCCTTGCCACGGTTACTGGAAACGTCCGACACGGATTTCGAGAGAAGAGGGATGTTTGGACGTGTCACAAGTGGCTGTAAGGCAGTTCGACGAACAGTGGGTGAAAGCTGAGATGTGGAATGGGATGTTGGCAGAGTTGATGAAGTTGGCCGTTGGGAGAGTTGGCGATCATACTCGTCGATATCAATATAGTCGGATGATGGCTGATTAGGCTGAGCACTAGGGAAGCTTTCGAAAGCATCGTCTTCGACCAGCAGGCCAGATGGCGCTTCAGGCAGGCCAATGACTTCGTCAATCAAATCTTCGTCTGCCGGGCTGGTCATCTGTGGCTGTTGCGTAGGTTGCTCGTTTGGATCAACGTAAGTAGCCGCAGTCTGGTCTTGGGTTGGTGAAAGAGCCTTCTCTCGGTCGTCAGGCATAAATTCCATGTTGTCTTCCACGAAAATGTCCTTTCCGCCATCCTGGATGGTCGAGGCCTCTTCCTCCTCGAGGATACCGTCCTCAAGATCTCTGGAAGCTGCTGCCCACAGTCCCTTTCGCCGACCCATCAGCGACAGACCGGATCCAGATACTGCTGGTTTAAGGTGCAGAGTTTCCAAGCTGCTCTTCTGTGAACCCAGCGTCTCTGAGTCTCGGATCGCTTGCTGGAGATCTCTGATGAAAGTGGGCGATTCCTCTCGAGCAAGCTGAGAGGATGTACCAAACAGAACATCTTGGCGATTTACACGAAGCAATGCCGACTCGGGCGACAGTAGCTTTTCGGCTACTAGCTTGGCAGCTTTCTTAGATTTCGCGGTCGGTTTCTTGGCCTTGCTTTCCGTCTTCTTCGTGGGGCTCTTGGATCGACTGGCGCGTTTGGGCTTTTCAGCTCCATGACCAGCGGCTCGTTCGGTGCCAGACGTAGGCTCAGCAGGCGGTGCGAAAAACGCGGATACCTTAGGATCAATAGGAGCTTTGTGCGACTCAGAGACTTCAGCAGGTGCAGGTGGGCGGTAAGCAGCAGTGACTAAGTCAGTGATCGTCCTGGGCTTCTTCTTTGGAGCCTTTCCAGGCTTCTTCGGTGGTTCTTCGACGGATTCAGAAACGGTGACTTCAGCCGGTTGATTTGGTTTCTCGACCAACTGCGACAAGTCAGCCATCTTTCTCATTAGGTCAAGCGTTGGGGGTATCTGACCTCCAATTTCCTCCGTTTGGTGAAGGCCTCACCAGACTCCGTCCGTAAAGTCACGGCTCCAGTGGAACCAGGCGCCTGTGCGCTGTACTCAAAGCCATTTAATAGCTCTGTAAATGACGGCTTGGTGCCTGCGACAGCTGGAGTCTTCTCGGATGGGCTCTCACATAGGTCAACCGGCTTCAACGAGTCATTTCCATTCGGCGAAGACTTCGTATCTTTGAGAGGGGTCCAACTCCGTCTGCGTATCGTTGCCGGTGGAAGATCAAGAGGTTCATCCGGGTTCTTGACTGGCGCGGGCGCTTCATTAGCCTTGGGGGCTTGGGCATCAACCAAGTTGTCTGGCGAAAAATGCTTTAAAACAGTCTTCGTGCGTTTGCGCACTGTAGGCTGTTTTTTCGAGGGTTTTGATGTCTTAGCCACCGTTTCGTCTTTTGGAGCCTCGGCCGGATCGTCGTTGGGCTTCTTCGTCTTTCGCGCTCTTGGCTTCTTCTCCAACGTCTTCTGAGCACTTACGGGCTGTACTTGTGCAGGTTGGTCCAATGAAGAGTCGAAACGACCAATTTCGGTTGATGCTCCACTGTCCAGAGGAGTAGCCGACACTTGAGCTGGGTCGTTCTTGGCTTTTCTTTTCTTCAGCTTCTCTACGGCTCCGCCTGCGCGCGGTTTGCTCTGTGGTGCCTCTGCTGCAGACTCGAGGCCCAAAGCATCTCTGATCAACTCGGAGTTGTTCAAGACTGCCTTGCTCTTCCGTCCTTTCGGCCTTTCTGCGCCTCCAGTTTCCACCGCAGTAGTATCCTCGCGACCGTTGGAGACCTCAGTTCCCTCTACACGATCCACTACCGGCGGCACATCATCCTTCTTCTTACCCCTCCTCGCCTTCTTCGTCCCAGCCTCATTCCCTTCTCGGTCCGCCTTCTTCGCTGCGCGCTTTCTCGTCTTCGCCGGGCCACCAGCGCCTTCACCACTACCATCGCGCGTATCCTGGCCACCATCTTCCACCTTCTCCTCCTCAAGGCTCAACACGCGCTCTCTGACCAACGCGCCCGCGCTCGCGAAGCCGAACGCCACACCATCCGGTATGCGGGCAGCGCGCGACCCGCTCTTCAGGCCCGGCAGCTGCGGCAGTTGCGGCGGCGGTGGTCTCTTAAACAATGCCGACGGCGAGGGCAGACTCGGCGAGCTACCGCGCAAGGCTAACGGCGATTCAAACGGCCGAGCGTGCGGCTGCGCGTGTGCGGAGAACGGCGGTAGCGGGGATGTTTGTTCGTGGCGCAAGTGCGGCGGGGTGGAAATGATGTCGGAATCGGGAATATGCGGTGGCGAGGAGGAGGAAGACAGGAGGACGATGTCATGAGCGAATGCCGCCGGCATGGTCACGGTGGTGATGGCGGAGGCAGAGGCGGCGTGAGCGCGTTGGTGCTGCTGCTGCTGCTGCTTCAGGCGGGTCGGGGTGGGACAGGTCGCCCATTGGAGGCGGCGCGGGTGAGCCGCAGCGGCGAGTCAGCGGAGCATGTGTGCTTGTATGTGTGTATAAGGCGGAAGGGCGACACGGTGTGCAGGTGTGCTAGGACACTGGAAGGAAGGGCAGCGACATGCGGTGGTCAATGCTCTAGTTCAGTCGCGCGTGATCACGTGATGGATATCGCGTCACCAAGCTTCTCTCTTGAGCATTTTGCTCGGCATGCCAGTGGAGATTTTGGCTTCGAGGTTCGCTGTCCAAGATATGGTGTTCTTGCATCGTGAGCTCTTCTTTTTCTGGCAACGACATTTCCAATCAAGCTCAATCAGCGCAAGCTCATATCACAACTACCCGGAGACAAACCCATGGAATGTACAGTCCCCTCTCGCAGCCGATGGCTAGCGTGGATTTATCTTTTGCCCATGCCATGGGTAGCTGAAGCTATCTTCCGGACGATAATATCGAATTAAAATTCTACATACACGTCCAAACGAGAATACCAAATTAAAAATTCTACATACACACCCGGACGATAGCTTTAACTACCCCAGCGGCCCTGGCGATTACTTCATCGGCACACATTTTAATTTTTCTAAAGCAGAGCTGGGGCATAATTATGCTATGATCTAGAGCCCTGCTATTCTTCGCGCTAGCTATCGGCTGCAGCACGCCTCTGTATGCATTCGTTTCGGCTTCGTGGATCACAGAGTCACACATATGATGTCTCCATTATCTACAATTCCAGTTGGCTTTGGCACGCTGCCATTACTATGGTGCCTGCCCGTATCCCCAAAAATCCAGCGCTCCGCGATATCCGACCCGTCTCATCCTCGCTGAAGCTGCAAATTGTTCTTGGGATCGTGAACGCTAATGAACCAAACGAAATCTTCTCAGACTGCCTGGGCCGCTTTTGGGATGATTGGCGGCGTATACTTCCTTTTCATCAATCATGAGCCGAGAGCGTAGTTAAAAATTATACCGTGAAAATGATTCTCGGACAGCCTCTTCGAGCGGAACGGTCATAGCCTTTCGTACTTTCATGCCTCAATTCCACACAGCCGCGCTTCTGTAATTATGCCAACCTAGCTCTATTAGTGACGTTCTATTTCAGGTTCCTCGCTTTCGCGTCCTGAGAGCTTCCTCAGTTAAAGACGTATGGTCTCAATTCATAGGCATCATACACAACCTGTCAATTCATCACAGAAATCTGAAAACTGTAGTTGAGGGCGATCGGACCAATTGTTGAGTTTGAGTTTTGCGTCACAAGGGTAAGTGGTACCCCAAGCTAAGTCAAACTCCGGATGACTGCGTTCGACATGCTGAAAGAACTAAAATTCTGATAGAAGCAAGTTAGCCCTGATCATTACTCAAGCGAGGAACGGAAGCAGAACTCTGAAACTGTCTAATTCATTAGTTTGAATCAACGGTGTTCATAACAAATCCGTTCTCATCATCAAACAGCTGCAAAAGGGTACATAATACAAAAATAACACTCACTGTTCAGCGCCCTCGACCAAGGGTAGCATCGGGTTGTCAGCAAATGCACTGTATCAAAGCTGTCTCAGAGATCTCTGCATTGTCAGGCTTTGATCGGCTTGAGTCAGTTCCTCATCAGAATGAAAAGGCCTGCCGATTCGCCTGATGGTCAAAGTCGGCCCAAGTGGACATGAAGCTGCAGGAAACGTTGCTTCTACATCTATTTCGATTTCTACAAGAAATCAACGCTACATCTAAAAAGAGAAAAACATTACGTTAGCGTCAATTGTCTTAATGATTGCCAGACAGAGGTATGGGTGATTTCAATATCAGAATTAGCATGTAAGATCATCAGAGATCAGTGATTTTAAGAAACGAGAAGAAAATGGTTTTTCATCATAAAAGGATGGGCATATACGATGACAAGATGCACGGTAAACATACCTAAAATGGCTTCTCTGGTGCTTTGGTCGTCAATGTTTGACTGAAACTCGTTAGTGCTACTCCACTTTCTGTTGTGCAATCTAATTTTATGAAAGCATTCATCAGAAAAGCACTTGTGTCACTCAGGAACCGACAATCTCGGGATGACAATGCTGTCATCATATGAAGATAATATGCATGTGAAGAGAACTTACCAAACATAGCTTCGCCTCACCGTGCGCGGTTTTCATGAACCTGAATCCTGATCCACAATCGTTAGCCGACTATCATGCATACCGTAAACCATTCAGTAAAACAGAAAAGAGTTAAATAAACTCAGACAAGGGTGAGAAGATGTTTAAGGATTTGGGTGTTTTCATTCCCAGTCCTGAAGGCACATGGGTCCAAATGACACGCTGTGTCATCATAGAGAGATAGCAATGCGAGGCAGAACATAACGGCGAGAGCGAACTTACAATCTCTTCGAGTCTGAATTCACTCTTCCTGTTGTTAAGATGAGTTCTTCGCGGAAATCTGCTGCCGGACTGTCTCAATGTCGATGGCGGGCTTGCTGAAGCACTATACTCAATGCCTTAGCATTGAGCACAGCATGGGCGCTTAAAGTACTTTGAGGAAGTCGCACACTACATGGTCGAGGTAGTTAGCGAGAGTTCTCCACAAACAATTTTAATGCTTAAAAAGAACAACTGATGCTCTCAGGTGCTGTTCATGTGTCGTCACGGTAACCAGCGCAACCAGCGCCGGCTGGCACTGGTTTGCTTGGAGTTTAATCTCAAGTCATCATTGGGCCGATTGTTGTCCGATCTCAGGGCATGAGTGAAAAGTACTTTCCTTTTATAAAGAGAAGAGTAATTCCCTTCTGTCCCTTCTTCCAGCATGGAGTGTAGCTGTGTCTAGGGCGGACCGCTCTAAGGCGCCGTGGTCTGTCGTGGTAGCAGCGTCGTGGTCGGGTTACTAACTATCCTCTTGTAGTGTTAGCAAGCATTCGAGATGGAAAGCTTGGATTTGCGGTAATAATGGCCCCAATCAGATGTGCTCTATCTTTTTGACTGATCAAGGACGAAGTGATGTTCCAACATCATGACCACAGAGGGCTCAAAGGTTAATCGAATGTCATCATGGGCCGCGTGTGAGAGCTAATGTGATATTGAGAAACTAGACGGTACTTGCCTTTAATTATTGGTCGTTGGATGGTTATTTCGAAACGCGAGGGCGGCTTACCCTTGTCAGAAGCAGCGGCGTTCATTTTCGAGTCTCTATAGTTATTCAATGATTAGCACAGGCCCGAACGTAGATTCTGTGAGCTTTGTGGATGTGATTCAATGTCAGACAATGAAAGGATTGTTTTTGAAGTTTCGATTTTTTGCATCTTCTTATCCTTTCAAAAACATCAGGAAGCTCTCAGAGTTTAATCTCAAATGGTCATCATTCGACGGTGTCGGGGTGTGCAACGGAAGAGAACCAAACTTGCCTTTTAGACGATCTGGCTTACCCTAGTCGGAAGTGGTGGTGTCCGCTTTCGAGTCTAGAGTTTTCAATGATTAGCGCAGACCCGAACGTAGATTCTGTGAGTTGTGTGGATTTGGTTCGATGTCAGACAATGTTGTGATTTGTGAAGTGCTTTTCTTAACAATGATTACATCACGGGAATCAGATTTTAATCTCAAATGGTCATCATTCGAGGGTGTCAGGGTGTGCAACGGAAGAGCACCGAACTTGCCTTTCAGAAGATCTCGACTCGTGGGATAGCCAGAGAGAACTATTAAACCGATGTTGAAGGGTCACCACATCAATAGGCTGGGTACCTATGTCGGCGAGTCAGGTCAAGAGTGGAAGAGAGTAAGTGAGGAGGTGAGCACTCACTAGAGTGATCGACGCAAAGGCTGTGATTTGTTGCGCCACATTCAGAAGACTCGTCAAATACTTATCTCATGTCATAAATGGCTGGAGCTTGAGAGGGGTAGCGCTTGGTGTCCCTCACGAAGATTGCTTGCTGGGGTACAGCAGGCTGATCTTCGATTGGACCTAGCTGCAAGGATGTCAGCGACAAGGTAGACGTGTCTGAAAGCCACTGAACTGGAAGCACAGGGGATTCGGATAGCTCATAGCGGCGGTTAGGTAGGGTAGTGAGGAAGGGAGAGCGTGACCTGCGCAGGCGGTCGCAGAGCCTTTGCGGCCTGGGACAAGGAGGCTGGCGGACGAGGAGTGTGAGGAGACGAAGAACTTACAGAGGAGCATGCGACCCACGCGTATCTTGTATCGGATATGTCTGCACAGCTGTAGCAGGATTCCTTGCCAAGTGGTGAGCGTCGCGTCGCGGGTGTCGCGTCGCAGGCGTTCTGTCCCGCTGGGACATCAAGCCGCGCCCGCAAGGACTGAAGCCGCCAGGCCGCCGTCGGCCTTGCTAGAAAGGAGTTCGCTGAGGAGCAACAGATGAAAGAAAGCAGGATCATCAATCAGCGAGCGAAGTAAGAAGAGGATTGTTGTGGATGGGAGGAAGGTAAGGTCGAAGGTCGAGGAAGACGGCGGGCGAGCGACCACGACAATATCTTGCCCGCGCACACGCTATACCCAGAATGGAATTTTCATGCAACACAGAGCAGAATATGGAAGGCACGACTGGGCTGCGCCTGCCGTCCATCTGCTGGGCTGACGCGGGCGACCGCTGGCCAGCGCGGCGGGGGCTCAAAGCGATGGGACAGGCGCTTTCGCCCATGCGCGCTATGCAGGAGCGGCTATCTCACTTGGACAGCCTTACCAATTCCTTGATGCCAATCTTCCAGGCTCCACGACCTTGAAATGCCAAACTTGCGGTCGCAGCTTCGAACTGTTGAATTGCCCCTTCTGCCCCCAGCACAGCCTTGTGGCCATCGCGACCTAAGACTCCGCTGTCTCGTCTTCACCACCCCCAACATCACCGGACCAATGAGAAATCTTCCGATCCACAAATTGTAGAGGCTGTCCGTGTCAACAGTCGATATTTCAGTACGCG